CTTTTTATCCAAATTATATTGAATAATTAGGAAATAATATATTTACAAAGAATGAAAACACTTGAATTTTTTAAACATGAAAACTAGTTGAGTAAGGTAGGGGTTCTGGGTATGCCTTTATAACTTAATTTAAACCATAATGAGCATTATTTTATCATTTAGGAATATACTAAGTGAAATATTAGATATCAGAAACCATTAATAGCTAAGTATAAAAGAGGTTAAGGAACAAAAAAAAATGAGAAAAATGTTCACTGGGAGTACTTGATTGTCAGTTGAAGATGAATTCCATCCAGCATCTCAGAAATCCACATGGATGAGTCCTTAGATGAAGCTGGTTATTATTTTGTAGTGCAGGAGAAGGTTAGAAGTACCCGAGTACAGTCTTTACTCTCCAGTTGAATGGAGTGTTTGATGTAGTTGATGAAATCCTTCGGTTTTCTTTATCCTTCAGGAAGATTCTGCAACTAATTCTGAACTTTTAGTAATCATATTTAAAAGTCCTTGTTTTTCTAAGCAGATTAACATTTAAGAAAACTTTATGTTGTAAGTAATACTAAAGCATTAATTTTACCTCAGGGTATTGAATTTTGACCTTAAAAATTTAATACTCTTTATATTATAATTTAGCTTTTTATCCTACTTTCTTTAATTTTTTTTTACAATATACTAGTTTTTTAAATATTATTTTTATTCATTTCCATTTGGAATAATCTTTATTTTAACGTACAAATCCAAAAGTGCTTTTTTAAACCTTCCTTTTCCAGGAAGCCATATCCAAAACATAGAAAACATATATATGGCTTCTTAAATATCTAACAGTAATAAAGACAGATAAAACATATTAATAGTCTTGTTTTTTCTTAACCAATTTAAACTGATTATTTGTTAAAGGTAAGTCATGGTAACAGGTACTTTGAAATTATTTTTAGTTAAAAAGAATTCACGTCTCATTAGGGTTTGAGGCATTCAGAAGATAAAATTTTGGCATTTGACTTATTTGTTGCCATCTGTTTACCATCAATTATAAAATTGATAAAAGCTGCCATCAATTATAGTTTATTAATCATTTAACAAGTATTTAACTATATTTTTAAAATTTAAAGCAGAGATGAACAATTATCTCAAATATATTATAATGTAACACATTAACATTAGTTAT